GAAGGGCCTGTTTCCATGCTGTTTTACTATATGACTCTATCTGCTACCTGCTGCAAATAGTAAATGAGCAGCAAGAGGCAGGGTAGGTCCTTTAGACAACAACAAAAACAATATATGCGAAGGGCCGCAGTGCAAATCTTGAAAACTTGGTCAGTACAGGGGCCATCTCCATGTTAAAATTAAACCAAAGACTGACAAGAAAAACAGTAACAGAATAATAGAGAATCTTTAAGGAGGAGATGTCTTAGATACAAGCTCAGTAAATCACAACGAAGGCAAAAAGATAAGAGAATAAATGACGAGGGAGATGGGGAGTATGATGCATTTTAGGTAAGTTCTACAAGCAAGAACCAGGGCAAATACGAGAAGTTGAAAGGGAAAGTGAAGGCAAAAATATGACTGGCAAGGAGACAGAACAGGAGGATAGCAGTGAACATAAAGGCTATACTCTCTGGAGTTAAGAAGAACAAGAGGAGATCTAATTGGGGTACATGGGATGCTAAAGAGATTCACAAAGTAGATGTAGACAGAATGTTTCCTCATGTAGGGCAATCTAGAACAAGAGGCCATAGCTTTAAAACAGTGATAAGGAGAAATTGCTTCTCTCAAAAGGGTAATGAATCTGTGGAATTCCCAACCCGGAGTGCGGTGGATGCCGGGACATTGAGTAAATTTAAGGAAGAGATAAACATATTTTTAATTGGTAACGGGTTTAAGGGCTATGGAGAGTGGGCAGAAAAGTGGAAAGTAACCCTACCCTGATCACTAAGATGAGATCAGCAATGATCGTATTAAATGGCAGAGCAGACTCGAGGGGTTGAATTGCTTACTCCTGTTCCAAGTTCTTTTGTCCTAATGTGTGAGAACGCAAAGATCGGCTACTTGCTGCAGATAGTAAATGAGTGGCAAGAGGATAACAAAAACAATATACGTTAAAGGCCACAGGGCAAACCTTGAATACTACGTCAGTACGTTGTATCAGCATGTACTAAGGAACAGGACTCGGGTGAAATATTGGTTGAAGCAGAGACAGCAGAGTTCATAGAATCCCTACAGTGTGGAAGCGGGCCATTTAGCCCACAGAGCCTACACTGACCCTCTGAAGAGCACTCCACCCAGACCAACACCATCCCTGGGACCCTGCATTTCCCATGGTTAATCCACCTCATCTGGATACTATGGACAATTTTAGCATGGTCTAGCCCCCTAATCTGCACATCTTTGAACCGTGAGAGGAAAGTGGAGCACCCGGAGGTAACCCATGCAGACACACTGAGAATGTGTAAACTCTGAAAATCGTCCAAGGGTGGAATTTAACCCAGATCCCTGGTGCTGTGAGGCAGCTGTGCTAACCACTGAGCCGCTGTGCTGCCCCTTGTTTGGTGGAGTGAAAATTAAAAGGCAGGATTTATTGAAAGGCTCCCTATGCTTAAAGTGGATAAGTTGCCTGGAATGAAGAGCTTACGTCACAGGTTACTAAAAGAAGTGGGGGTGCAGACTGTGTGATAAACTTAGATAGTTGAGATAGACTTGCCATAATCTTGCAATCTTCCCTAGATATCAGGAGATGCCAGAAGATTTGGAGAGTGAAAAATGCAACAATTCAAGAAAGAGTATTAGAATATCCCTTGTAATTACAGGTCTGTTGATTTAACGTCAGAAACAGCTAAGGTTTTAGAAACAATAATTGGGGGAAATAAATGGTACTTGGAGAGGTTTCACTGCAGTCAGCACCTAAACCATGATTCCATCACCAGACACATGTTTACCTGTTGGGCTTCCTGTTGGAATTGCTCCTCTTCCTCTGCCATTTGCCTGTGCAACTACAGCAGATCTAAAGGCTGATTCACCTCTTCCCACACCATAATCCAAGGTCTCAAACCCTCCTTCCCTGTGACACACCAGTGAATTGCCTAACGCCTGATATAACATATTTGCTCTTCAGTGTTGTCTTTTCTGCAACATTTTGATCACAACTATGATCCTAACTTCACTGACTCTCCACTTCAGTCTCCATTTCAAAACATCTTTCGCTTCCTCTATTCTCCCAACCTGGAGATTTTGAAACATTCTCTCAGCTTCGTTCTGAGCATTCTGCAACCTAGGGCATAACAGTATTGACTCTGGATTGTAACTTCCTTAATTTTTTTTTTAATTAGCCTGTAAAAAGATGGTGATGTTGGCTTTGTTTTTCAGGAGACTGGAGAGTTTGGACCTATTCCCTGTAACAAAAGCGATAAATGCTGCATATTGTCAGCACATCTGGTAGAATCTGTGGATAGAGAAAGTGTTACTATTTCAGGTCTATGACCCTTCCTTAGAGTAGGACTGAAAAGGTGAACTCTGTTTCTCTCACTACACATGCTGCCGGACCTGGTGAGTGTTCCCAACAATTTTTGCTTTTCCTTCAGATTTCCAGCAGTTCTTATTGTGTTGAGGTTGGTTGGCTCACCGAGCTGGTTTGTTGTTCCGCAGACGTTTCGTTACCGTGCTTGGTAACATCCTCAGTGCAGCCTCTGATGAAGTGTCGGTGTGTTTTCCCACCTAGCTTTTAAACTCTGGGGTCCGTTGCGATGGATTGCCTCACTTTCAGAAAGATTCTACACGCCCCGACACACTCATCACACTACCCTACATCAGGAACACCACAAGACTTCTATGACCGTTGGGCATCAGAGTGGCACACAAGCCCACATCAACCCTACGACAAGTGCTCACCCGAACTAAAGACCCACTCCCCGCCATGGACAGGACCAATGTCATCTACAAGATCCCCTGCAGAGACTGCGAGAAACACAACATCGGACAAACAGGAAGGAAACTAACAACAAGAGTACACGAACACCAACTGGCTACAAAAAGACACGACCAATACTCACTCATCTCAACCCACATGGACAAGGAGAACCACCACTACGACTGGGACAACACCAAGATCCTGGGACAGGCTAGGCAGAGACAAGCACGAGAATTCCTGGAAGCATGGCACTCCACGAAGCATGCTATTAATAAACATTGAACTCGACCCCATATACATTCCACTACGCAGGAAACCCGGAAGTGAGGCAATCCATCACAACGGACCCCAGAGTTTAAAAACCAGGTGGGAAAACACACCGACGCTTCATCAGAGGCTGCACTGAGGATGTTACCAGGCATGGTAACAAAACGTCTGCAAAACAACAAACCAGCTCAGCGAGCCAACCAACCTCAACACCCACAACCTGAGCTACAGATCTACTCCAAAACCTTAGAGTTCTTATTGTATTTGGATTGTGCTACCAATGAGACAGCAGGGACTTAAAGAATTAAATGGCCACTTCTGGGCCCTCAGATTCTGCAGCTCAAAACCCACCGTTACTTAAATGATCAGCAAAAATAGAAACCAAAAAGCCAACAAATTTGATATTTACAACAATCAATGTTATAGAGCACAGCATCCCCATTCGTACAGTTACATCGTGGAAATCATGCTTGACTAATATTCTGGAATTTTTTGAGGATGTGACCAGCGGAGTGGTCAAGGGTGAATCAGTGGATGTTGTGGATCAGGTTTTTCAAAAGGCTTTTGACAAGGTCCTACACAAGGGATTAGAAGGCAAAATTAAATCTTATGGTATCAGAGGTAATGTATTAACATAGATAGAGAACTGGTTGAAAAGAAGCAGAAATTTGGAATAAGTGGGTCCTTTGCAGAGTGACAGGTAGTGATGAGTGGGGTGCTGCATAGTTCAGTGCTGGGACCCCAGCTGTTCACAATATACATTAACGATATGGTCGAAGGAATTAAATGCAATATCTCCAACACTAAGCTGGGCAGCAATGTGTGCTGACAGGAGGATACTAAGAGGCTGCAGGGTGACTTGGACAGGCTGGTTGAGTGGGCAAATTCAATATAATGTGGATAAATGGAGGTTATCTACTTTGGTGACAAAAACAGGAAGGCAGATTGTTATCCAAATGGCGGCTGTTTAGGAGAAAGTGGGACCTGGGTATCATAGTGGAACAGTCACTGAGGGTTGGTCGGCATGCAGGTGCAGCAGGCAGCGAGGAAAGCTAATGGCATGCTGACCCTCATAGCAAGTGGATTTGAGTATCTGAGTAAGGATGTCTTGCTGCAGTTATACAGGGCCTTGGTGAGGCCACACATTAGGCATTGTGTGCAGTTTTGGTCTCCTAGTCTGAGGAAGGACATTCTTACTATTAAGGGAGTCCAACAATGGTTTACCACACTGATTCTTGGGATGGCAGGACTGACAGATGAAGAACGATTGGACCAACTGGGCTTGTATTTGCTAGAATTTAGAAGAACGAGGAGGGGCTCATAGAAACATATAAAATCCTGATGGGACTGTTCAGGAAAGATGTGGGAAGAATGTTTCCAATGTTGGGGAAGTCACAGTTTAAGAATAAGGGGTAAGCTATTCAGGACTGAAATGAAGAAGAATTTCTTCATTCAGAGTTGTGAACCTGTGGAATTTTCAACCACAGAAAGTTGCTGTGGTCAGTTCATTAGATATATTCAAGAGGGAGGTGGATGTGGCACTTGCGGCTAAAGGGGATCAAGAGGTATGGAGAGAAAGTGGGAATAGGATACTGAGATTGCATGATCAGCCACAATCATATCGCATGGTGCTACAGGCTCAAAGGGCTAAGTGGCCTAATCCTGCACCTATTTTGTATGTTTTTATGCCTTATACCACTCCAGAAGAAACACAGCAGCCCTGCTTGTACAACACCATCCCGCCGCATCCCCAATCACACAGCAGTCCCATTTGCACAGCATCTGCTCACCCTCTGCCAGGTGCCTCTCCATGTTCTCTCCCCAACAATATTCCATACAGAATACATCCCGCAAGCAGCTCTCCATGTGCTCTCCTGCACACACCGCCTCCTCATGGAGACCACCCCCCACTACACAAAGCACTCACTCAAGATCCGTGTCACAAGAGCACCACAACATATTACAAAAAGATCTAAAACCGCTCAGCGATACGCACCTGAATGAAGTCTGGGAACTGTTTTTTACAGGAAGGGCAGGTGAAACAGCCATTAGTAACATGAATTGTGACATGTTCCCTGAGCAGGTCAAGTCTATCAAAAGATTCTGTGCAGAAAATACAGGAGTATGTTTTCTGATCCGAGTGGAATTTCATGTGCGAATCAAGTGCTGAACTGTTTATGAAGCCTTTGTTACAGATGTCACAGGTGAGTGGATAGTTGCCTTCCCTCCCATGGAAGTGTAGGTGCTGATCCAACTTTTCCTTCTCCCGAAAAGCTTTCCCACAATGTAGGCATTTGAATGGTCGGAACGTTTTACGTATGAAGAGATGATGAAGTGCAGCATTCTGAAGAGAAAAGAGAGGATATTTAAATGTGTACATGCAGCTTTCACATGAACATTGATCATCTGCAATTATGCACTGCTATCCTACAAGGTGCAATAGCCAGCCCATTGGACTGAATTCTCTATGAATGACTTCACATCAGATGATTGATGAGGACAATGATAAACAGTGACACATTCATCTTAGGATCTTCCTTTTTACCTTGACATTACAGTCATTTCATTCCACTGAAGCACAATAAAATGCAAGATCACTTATTTGCTTCTATCTACAATTAGAATGATAGAAATAGAACCACTCCCAATTTCAATCCAAGCCAGGAATCAATAATAGAGGAGGCTGCTTAGTCAGTGAAAACAGTACTAGATTGAGGCTGTGGCCACACCACCTTCACAAAACAAACGATAATTCACACCCAGAACAGGTATTATTTCCATTCAAATGCCATCTACAATCCCTGGTGCCATGGGAACTTCACTGGCAATAGGCTCAGAAGGTTGCTGGGGAAACAAGTGAAGGTTAATAACCCACGTCACTATCCTATCCTGGTCTCAACAAACCAACTATTCCAGGTGTTCAAACCAGCTGAGGCACATCCCTCTTAAATGACCTGGTGTTGTAATCAGTTTTTATAATGCTCCTATAAAATGTCTCTGAGTGTTTTATTATATTAAAATCACTATGGAAGCAGTGATTGGAAAGATTAGAAATTCTAACTGGGACAAAGAATATGAATAATTTCCAATCTTCAATGAACTCAGTTTGTTACCATATAACTCTTTATAGGAGGAAAGGTTTTGGGAAAAAGCCTGAACTCTCAGTGAACGTGTTCTTCAATGAACGAGTTCTGTTGATTCAGAATGAATTGTTGGATCTGCCCAACACTAACTGGGACAGAGAGTAAGAATAGTGTAGCCCACGTCCAACAATTCATTCTGAATCAACAGAAATCATTCACTGGCGGACACGCACGAGGTCCATCCCATTTTTAGACAACTCATGAGATAGAAAATAATAATTACTGGGCATTATATATGGCTAAATACTACAGTCCAGACTTATTCACATGCAACAGAAAGTAAGACAACATGTATCAGGAGAATACAGTGCAATTGGAGGAGGAAAGATAACTGCTAAAAAGCGTACAATAATCAGAATTTCACGGCATACAAAGTTCCTGGTTTGAAATTCTGGCAATATCTTTTCGAATGTCTCAGCAAGGTCTCGGGAAGTCACATTCTCTGGCGGATTTTTATATATTTGTTTCTAATGTTTTCCCACTCTTCCCTTGCGTTGAGATTATGGTGAATAGGAAGTTTCATATACCATATCTGAATCCCTGGATTATAAGGATGCTTTTTGTTTGAAGTTTGTGCAGGTACTTTCAAGGTGATGACAGCCATTTGCACACACTAGACTAAGCAGCATAGCAATAATAGCAAGACCTCCTTCAATAGTGAATTCATCCTAAACTCCGAATTGCAACTTTTCTCTATTTACCTCCAGCAGTTCATCCGCTGTAGTTGGGGCGCCACAGAATTTACAGGTTCGTGTATGGGGCTGAATATGTTAACATGGTTAAATCTGTTGGCCTAGTCATCATCAAATCTAGTAATTTATTGTTTTATACCATGTCTTTGTCTTCCATTACAAATCTAGTGAACAGAATAGCCTTCATTTCAATCTCAGTGTCTTCAGAAATCATATAAAACTGAAGACAGCAGGATAAAGGGGAGGCAAACATTGGTGCTGTTATGAAGAACTACAAGGTAAAAACCCACTCTTTGAAGTTTGAGTTATGACTATCACTTCTATTGACATCTTCACTGTTGCTAATATTATGCCTCTATATTCGAAATTCAGTGCTGCTCCACCAGAAATCTTCTCCCATTAAACCTTGGGAAGTCCAAAGCCATCATCTTGAACCCCACTTCAAATTCCTTTACTTTGCTATCAATTCCCATCATTCCTCTGGAAACTCTGGACAGGAATCAGCCTGTTTGCAATCCTTCTGCCATACTTAGCCCTCCAAACACATAAAAGACAATAAAAATAGGAACACGAGTAGGCCCCTCAAGCTTGATCTGCCATTCAATCAGATCCTGGTTAATTTAACACTCCTCATGGCTGCTTTCCTTTTCCCATAACTCTTGATTCCCTTCCTTATTATGAATCTATCTCAGGCCTCCAACTCTCTGCGCCATAGAGTTCCAAAGATTCACAATCCTCCAAGTAGAAATTCCGGCTCATCTCAGTGCGAAATTGGTGTCCCTTAATTCTGAGAGTGTCCCATGAGAGGAAACATCCTCTCACCATTTATCCTTTCAAGCCTCTTAAGAATGCTTCATGTTTCAATCAGATCGTCTCTCATTCTTCTAAATTCCAATGAATAGAATCTCAACCTGTTTAACCTTTGCTCATAAGGTATTCCCTCCATTCTGGGGATCATTCAACTGAACCATCTCTGAAACGCCTCCAAGAAAATAATATCTATCTTTAAATAAGGGCGTGAAAACTGCTTATAGTACTCCTGGTGTGGTCTCACAAGCTGTAGTAAGACTTCCCCACTCTTATACGCCAACCCATTGAAATAAGGGCCAACATGCCACTAGCCTTCCTGATTACCTGCTGCATCCGTGTGTTAGCTTTCTGTGTTTCTTACAAGTACCTCCAAATCGCTGTGTTGCAGCTTTCTGCAGTTTCCTCTCCCCACTTAAAAAAATGACCTGTTCTTCTGTTCTCCCTTCCAAATTGAACAACTTCACATTTTCCCCACATTAAATTTCATTTGCCAATATTTTGCCCTCAGCCTCCGACGTTCCAGGGAAAATAGCCCCAGCCTATTCAGCCTATCCCTATAGATCAAACTCTCCACCCTTGGCAACATCCTCGTAAATCTTTTCTGAACACTTTCAAGTTTCACAATATCCTTCCAGAGACCAGAATTGCACACAGCATTTCAAAAAATGACTTGACCAATGCCCTGCATAGGCATAACATGACCTCTCAACTCCTATACTCAATGCACGAACCAATAAAGGCAAGCATACCAAACACCTTCTTCATTATCCTATCTACCTGTGACTCCACTTTCAAGGAACTATGAACCTGCACTCCAAGGTCTCTTCGTTGAGCAACACTCCCTCGAACCTTACCATTAAGTGTATAAGTCCTACCCTGATTTGCCTGAAATGCAGCACCTCAGATTTATCTAAATTAAACTCCATCTGTCACTCCATGGCCATTGGCCGATCTGATCAAGATCCCATTGTACTCTCAGGTAACCTTCATCACCGTCCACTACACCACCAATTTTGGTGTCATTTGCAAGCTTATTCACCATATCCCCTATATTCGCATCCAAATCATTTGTATAAATTGACAAAAAGCAGTGGACCCAGCACCAATCCTTGTGGCACATTCCTGGTCACAGGCCTCCAGCCTGAAAAGCAATCCTATGTCCACCCTATGTCTCCTAGCTTCCAGCCAGTTCTGTATCCAAATGGCTAGTTCTCCTTGCATTGCATGTAATCTAACATTGCTAATCAGTCTACCATGTGGAACCTTGTTGAACGCTTTACTGAAGTCCATACAGATCACGTCCTTCATCACCTCTGCCTTCATCAATCGTCTTCATGACTTCTTCAAATAACTCAATCAAGTAATTTATATAAGTGACTTGGATGAAACAATGGTTGCCAAGTTTGCTAATGACACAAAAGGAATTCCGTTGTGAACAGTTCATTACCTATATATACCTTTTTGTAATATCTTTAAATAAAGAGCAAAAATGTGGCGATAATGTGGGAACATTTAAAACTGTCCGTATTGACAGGAAGAATAAAAAACATGTTATCTAAATGGTGCGACACTGCAGAGGGATCTGGGGTCCGAACCATGAATCACACAAGGTTTGTATGCAGGTAGAGAAAGTAATGGGGAAAATTAATAGCAAGTTAACAATTATTGTTAGGAGAACTGAATACAAAGAGTAGGGAGGTTATGCTTCAGTTATACAGAGCACTGGTAAGACCACATCAGGAATGCTGTATATAGTTTTGGTCACCTTATTCAAGAATATAAATGCATTGGAGGCAGTTCAGAGAAGGTTTACTAGACTAATACTATGAATTGGTGAGTTGTCTTGTGACAAAAGGCTGGCAGGCCAGGCTTGTATCCTCTAGAGTTCAGAAGAGTAAGAGGTGACACTATTGAGAGGTCTCGACAGCTTGATGTGGAGAGGATGTTTCCTCTTATACGACAATCTAGAAATAGAGTCACTGTTTCAAAGTCAGGATCACCCACTTCAAACAGAGACAAGGGAATATTTTCTTTCAGTAGGAACTCTACTTCTATCACCTTTTCAGGAAGGGAGTCATTGAATTTTTTTTACGGCAAAGGTAGATAACTTTTCATGTCCTTACTTAAGAAGAATCTATCAGGATGGTGGGAAGGGGTTACAATGATCTTATTGAGTGGCAGAGTAGGCTTGAAGAGCGGATCTCTCAACTGTTTTTCCTATGGTTCCTTGTATGGTCACGGGTATGTACGTTTGTATCCATGCTTTCAAATCCCTGCATGCCCTTGACCCTCTCCATTTTAAACATCCACCAGCCGCACAACACTAATGAAATCTGTGCTCATTCAATTCTGACATGTTGATTTTTAACTGTTTTACCACTAAATGGTCTGCCTTCAGTGGCTTCGATTGTAAGGACTGGAACTTCCGCTTTTGCCCTCTCCACTTCTTTACATCTCTTTCCTCTTTCAAGGCACTCCTTTTGATCAAGCTTTTGGTCATCTTCCCAATATCTCATGTAGCTCAGTATCAAATTTTGTTTTGATAGGTTCTCATGAAACGTTTTATTATGTTAATGGCACGCATGAATAAAAGTTGGGAAAATAGGAACAAAATTGGTACTTTCCACTTGGAGTACAGAAATAAAAGGTTATAAACAACATCATTTTATAGAAATCTAACTATAAAAGATTGACATTGTCTTTGGCAATGCTGAAGTCAGTTCAATACTTGAGTGATGTGGCAACCAAAATAATCCAAAAATATTGATGATTTAAATATTGTATCTACAAAACGAAAACATGGATATACGTAGAGTAGAAATGGCACCATATGGCATTAGGTGGTGGTCATGGATAAACATCAATTAGGAATTACTTGCTCAAGACTCAGGCATTAGAAGCGCAAATCAACACAATAACATATCAGGAAATGCTCCCATAACACTAAATGGCCTTGTAATCTGCCCCACAACACACAGGGTGGACCAATAACCTTCAATTCTGTTGTATCCACCATGGCTATACCCCACATGCTTATCTAGTGCTGAGGTCAAGGTAAAACCCACCTGGAAATCCAACTGCGAAGCATATGGAAAGAGAAAATACTAAAATCAAGTTAAACACCACAACCAAGCCTGCCATTCAGTTGCTTAACTTCAAGCAGCTTCAAACAAACAAGCAAATGGAGATGCAGTATTCAGAAGAAACAATATCAGGCTAGTGAAAGTATTAGTTAACATTGAGACAAGCTGACAGAAAGCTAAGGACAGAAGGCTGTAATCCGTGCAGACACTGGCGCAGAAAATTTCAGTTTACTCTCAGTAACCTCTGAGGGAACATGCCCATCCTTAGCATTAATTCGTCAGGTTTTCAGTGTCCAGCATTTGTTTACTGTCAAGGTCAAATCCTTGAATGAGTTTAACATATGAGCACTGCCAACTCTCATTCCAGGGCACAAGTTGGGTTGGTATTTATCAATAGGAAGCACTTCTATGACTGATAATCCTTCCACCATCACAAGTAATTTCAACAATAAAATCATTCTTGTGAGCCTACAGAATTGTCAACAAACACTCAATTGAAGCTGATTGCTAAATACTACTTTTGAATGCATTTTCCAAATAGTTTCCTTCTGAGAAACTTTGCTCAAGGGTGTTTTAAGAATTAAAAGTGACTAGATACCTTTCAAACTTGAAAGCTTATTAGACATGAGGTCACTTGTCGTTTTACAAATTTCATAACCATGAATGCCATCCAATGTCAAATAACTCCCATCAGGCAAAGAGATGCCTAAACTCAGCAGGAGAGTTTACGCTTTGAGAAGCTTACCATAAGAGGTGAAGATTTGCAGCATTGTTTCACCTACTGTCTGGGGATGCTGGACAGAACAGATTACTCTGCTTTTAGAGCTCCTGCCTGATTATGGAATGGAATTAAAGTTTAGACAATCCATTTCACTGTATTACCAATCAGGTAGTAAAGAACATCTACTCCATGACCTTTGATCACCACTTGTCTCGCTTTTAGTTCAAACAGAAAAAGCAGCAATATTAAATTTGAAGGATCTCAACTCTACTGACTGCATATGATTCATATTTCAAACATTCTTGTCAATCAAAACAGCAATCTGAACTAACAAACAGATTCACTATAGATCCCGGCCAAGTAGTTGTTAATCTTCATGCAAATGTAACCTTGGATGACAAGAGACATTGAAATGTAAGTCAAAAATTAAAATAAGCGTATGTAAGGTTCAGGAAACTGAAATCAGACTTGGCCCTTGAAGAGTATAACAGAATAGAAAAGAACTTAAACGAGAATTAAGGAGGGCAAGAAAGGGCCATGAAATATCCTTGGCAAGTAGGATTAAGGGCAATCCCAAGGCTTTTTTTATTAGGAGCAGGAGAGTAACTAGGGAAAGGGTAAGTTCACTCAAAGACAAAGAGGGAATTTACACATGGAGCCAGATGAAGTGGGTGAGGTCCTTAATGAGTACTTCGCATTGGTATTCACCAAGCAGAAAGACATGAATGATGGTAAGATTAGGGAGGGGTATGCTGTTATTTTGGGCACGTCGATGTTAAGGAGGTGGTGGTGTTGGGTGTCATTAAGGCAGGTAAGAACCCAGGGCTTAATGGGATTTATCCCACAATACTGAAGGAGGCAAGGGAGGAGATTGCTGGGGCTTTGACAGAGATCTTTGTATCCTCTATAGCCACAGGCAAGGTACCAGAACACTGGTGAATAGCCAATGTCGTTCCTCTGTTTAAGAAGGGCAACAGGGATAATCCAGGAAATTATAGGTTGGTGAACCTTCCATCTGTAGTAGGGAAATTACTGGAGAAGATTCTTAAAGACAGGATTTACTCAAATTTGGAGAAGAATGGACTTATTAGGGATAGTCAGCATGGCTTTATGCAGGGGAGATCTTGTCTCACAAAACTGAATCAGTGTTTTGAGGAAGTAACAAAGATGACTGATAAGGGTAGGGGGTCAGTGAATGTTATCTACATGGAATTTACAAAAGCATTTGACAAAGTCCCTCATGGTAGACTGGTCCAGAAGATTAAGTCACATGGGATACATGGTGCATTGGCAAGATGGAAACAGTATTGGCTTGGTCATAGAAGACAGAGGGTAATTGGGGAGGAGTGTTTCTTCTGACAATGTAGGAAGTCTGATTAGTAAGTTTGCAGATGAAATGAAAATTATTGGAGTTGTGGATATTGAGGAAGATCATCAAAGGATACAGCAGGATATAGATCAGTTGGAAAGTTGGGTGGAGACACGGCAAATGGAGTTCAATCCGGACAAGTGTGAGGTGATGCATTTTGGGAAGTTAAATGCAAGAAGAAAGTATGCAGTAAATGGCAGGACCCTTAGGGCATTGACATAGGGAGGGATCTTAGGGTATAAGTCCATAACTCCCCAGAAGTGGCAATATAAGTGGACAAAATGGTGAAGAAGGCACATGGCATGCTAGCCTTCATTATTTGGGACACTGAGTATAAAAGTAAGCAAGTCATGTTGCAGGTGGATAAGGCTTTAGTTAGGTCACATTTGGAGTATTGTGCGCATCTCTGGTCACTACACGATAGGCAGGATATGGAAGCTCTGGAGAGCAAAAGACATTTACCAGGATTTTGCCTGGATTGACATGTATAAGGAGAGGTTGGACAAACTTGGATTGTTTCCACTGGAATATCAGAGGCTTGGGGGTGACCTGACAGAAGTATATAAAAAGACGAGAGGCATGGATGGGGTGGATAGTTGGAGTCTTTTTCCCAGGGTGGAAATGTCAAATACTAGAGATCATAGGTTTAAGGTAAGAGGGGAAAAATTTAAAAGAAATGTACGGGTAAGTTTTTTTTAAAACACAGAGGGTAGTAGGTCCCTGGAGTGGGCTGTCAGGGGAGAGGCAGAAGCAGATACAATAGCAATGTTTAAGAGGCATTTAGACAGACACCTGAACAGGCAGAGAATACAGGGATACGGACCACATGCAGGCAGATGGGATTAGTTTAGAATGGCGTTATGGTCGGCACAGACATGGTGGGCCAAAGGGCCCGTGTTCTGGTGCTGTATTGTTCTATGTTTTTAACATTCTTTTTAAAGGCAAGACTATGGTGAACGTTGGTGGTTACCCGTATCCTTTTATTCCGCCACACTTCCTCTCCGGGGCCTGTGGATGTTGTGTTATTAGCAACACTGGAATCATTTTCTGGCTGTTCGGAGATAATTGCAGAGTCGTCCTCTTGATCCATTCCATTGGCCACAGGCTCATCAGCATCTTCAAAGCGATGCTTCGTAGTAAACTGCAATGTCTGCTAGAAGAGAACAAAACAAGAAAGAAACTTGATCAGGGACATGACAGTCATTCCCCAACATTCTCACCTGCAGTGCTGAGTTGCAGAAAGGGTTGGTACTAAATAAATCAATGACTAAACTCAGTATTACTTAGGATGTACATAAACACTGTCAGAGGCGTACAATAGGTACACCATATTTTTAAAACAAGCAAGTAGATTGACTAGGCAGGATGTATGTCTTCAAAACTGTGCTGGCTGACATTTACGAGGTTATTTTCATGCAGATAATCCCGAAATTTGCTGCTGATATCCAAATCTATTATTCTGCCTGTTATAGACTGCATCAGTCAATATCTTGGGTTTGCTTTGAATTTCTTTGGTGACAACTACAATGAAATCACAATGAATCAAATTCAGATAATCAGGAACTTCAGTTGTGGCCAAATTGTCAACCATTACCACAGGAGAATAGGGCATCCAATAGATCATCATTGGTGGTCCTTCACAGACGAGGATGACTCTCTTCCACTCTCAGGGTTAGTCCGTAGGTTGCTGCACAGACAGATACAGCTACCACAGACTCTGTTACACTTGAGACAGGTAGTGGTCACAGGAAGGAGTGGGTGGGGCATTGGAGTGGCTGCGTGCTTCTTTCATGGTTTTCACCTGGCTTCCGCTTGCTCCCAATGGCAAGTCTCGAGGTGCTCAGCACCTTCTGGATGCTCTTCCTCCACTTTGGACGGTCATGGGCCGGTGATTCCTAGGTGTCTGTGGGGATGTCGCACTTCTCCAGTGAGGCCTTGAAGGTATCACTGAAGCACTTCCTCTGTCCATCTGGGGCTTGCCTGCCATTTTGAAGCTAGGAGTAGAGCACCTGCTTGGGGAGTCTTGTTTCAGTCATGCAGACGATGTGCCCAGCCCATCATAGCCGATGAAGGGTGGTCAGTGCCTCGATGATGGGAGTGTTGCCCGGTCAAGGACACTGGATGTTGGTGTGTCTTTCTTCCCAGCGGATTCACAGGATCTTGCTCAGGCAGTGTTGGTGATACTGCTCCAGCGCATTGAGGTGTCTGCTGCAGACAGTCTACACCTCAGAGCCATATGGGAGGGTGGGAACCACCACAGCTCTGTAAACCCTGATCTTGGTGTCGGATCGGATGTTACTGTCCTCAAATACACTTTTCCCCAGGTGGCTGAAGGCTGCTCTAGCACACTGAAGGTGATGCTGGATCTCTCATCAATAGCTGCTTTGGCCGACAGGACACTTCTGAGGTATTGGAAGTGATCAACATTCTCGAAGGCCTCCTCATGGACCTTGATGATCAGGAGTTTGCTCCACAGTGCCAGGCCAGGTAGGTGGGGTCCTTTGTTTTGCAGACGTTCAGGATGAGACACATGCTCTCATATGCCTCCCTAAAGGCACTGACATCTGGAGTGTGTCCTCTGAGATTGCACATACACAAGCATCATCTGCATACCGCAGCTCAATGACACTGGTTGGGGTGACTTTGGTTTTGGCTTGAGGCAGCAGAGATTGAGTAATTTCCCACAGATGCTATAAGTTAGCTCAACTTCAGTGGGGAGCTTGTCGGTGGTGAGGTGGATAGAGAACAGAGTGTTGGGGCGATGACACAGCCCTGCTTGACACTGGTCCAAACAGGGAAATGGGTCAGTGGTGGAAGTATTGGTCATTTCCATGACTTCCATGCCATTGTGGAGCAGGTGAAGGATGGTGACAAACTTCACGTTCCGTAATGCCTCCCGGTTGACAGCGCCAAATGCCTTTTCAAGGTCAAACAAGGCCACATACAGGAGTGGGTTCCTTTCTCTGCATTTCTCCTGCAGCTGTCGCGTGGTGAAAATCACATCTGTTGTGCCCCTCCGTGGCCCATAGTCACGCTGTGACTGTGGAAGGAGTTCCTCAGCCACAGGGAGGAGGGGAATGAGGAAGATCTTGGCAATGCCTTTTCCAGTGGTTGACAGCAGGAAGATTCCACTGTATTTATCACAGGCAGTTCCCCGTTTTGAAAATACTCACGACTATGGCATCTTGGAACTTTCCCAGGATGCTCTCCTCCTTTCTGATAAGGCAGACAAGGGTGTGTAATTGCAGTAGAAACTCTTTGCCTCCCACTTCAATGCCTCCCTGGGGATACTACCCGCTCCAGCAGTCTTGTTGGTCATAAACTGGTGGACGGCCTTCTAAACTTCATCCAAGGCTGGGGTGTTGTTGAGCTCGTGGCACATAGTATGCTGTGGGATGCGTTTAAGGACAATTGGAACAACAACTGAGCCCTGGTTGAGGAGGTCTCAGAAATGCTCCAAGCATTTTTTTGATGGCTTCTTTATCTTTGGTAAGAGTCACTCCGTCCTTGGCCAACAATGGGGTGGGGTCCTGGGCGTTTGGTCCGTATGTGGTCTTGACAGCACAGAAGAAACCCTGCATATAATGGTTGTCAGCCATTCGTTGAGCCTCCAGTGCTTTCTCCACCCATCACCTGTTCTTATATCGGGGTTTGTTTTTGGGCCTCTGCCCACAGTCATCTAGCTATTTTCTTCCAAGTGCGGTTGTTGTTTTACGCTCAGAAATGCAATGCGCTTCCAGCTTGAGTGTTCCTGGATCTCACAATTATTCTCATCAAACCAATCTTAGTGTTTCCTGGTTGAGTGGTCCACTGAATTTTTACAGGCATTGATGATGGTGGTCTTAAGACCGGAGCAGGGACTGTTGGGATCCTGCAATTCAGTGTCACTGAGGGTCTCTAGGTTTGTGGAGAGGAGCTGGTTATATGAGGCTATTTTTTCTGGGTCTTTGAGTGCCTCAACTTTGAGCTTCTTGCAACACTGCTTCTGTTGACTCTGCTGAGGCTAACTCCCAACCGTTAACAATGACTTTTACTGTACAGGCTCAGGCCACTGTAAGACTTAAACAAATTGGAAAATATACGTATCTACTGTGTCACTGTGTTCTTATTTTGTTTGACGTACAGCACGTCTGTAGACAAGCTGGGAGATATTGTGGCTTCCTCAGCTGTCTTGAAGTTTCATTAACATTAATTTGTAAGTGGGTCCCTTGTGATTCAACTTTTCGTGATTTTAGTGTAGTTGTCTTTTCCAATTTACTGGGAATGTTGCTTGTTACATCAGTCTTATCATGACGACTATCAACACTTTCAGAGTCAAATGCAAACAGCACTCCTGTATGTTTTGCTTTTTGTGTCCTTTCACTCAGTCCTTGCAATGGCAAAATAGTCTGGTTAGGTTGCAATACCTATAAGGAAACGAATATTTCAAAAAGATCTGCAAGATTAACCAAAGACAAAAAGAAAACTGAAAAGGAACAGCGATTCAAGAGATGTTATTGCTGCTCAAGGAAGCCATATTAAGTGAATAGACAGAACACATTCCATGACATGAATGGGCCAAATGGTTGAGATTTGCTACAATCAGTTCCAAGCAAATTTTCCACATACTTGGTGAAGCATTCTTTTAACTTTATAAAGACAACACAGGATTTGGGATATCGATCATAATGCTGTGTTTGTTTGATATCGCTGGCCTATTCACTAATGTGCCTGTCAAAAAAACCATTGACACTTTCACCATGTCACGCCAACGTGGCAATCTAAACACATTACCACTGCTTGAATCTGAACTATGAAATGAACCTTGCAATTTGTGCAGTTCATGTTTCAACTGCACCATGTCGGCTCAAATTGATGCCAATAGGATTCCCAAAAAGTTGCACTCTGACTAAGATCTTTGTCAGCTTTCACAAGAAACACATCTTCAATGGAATGACCCTGATCCTCCTACCTCTTGCATGTATCTACTGATACATTTGTTCAATTTAGATCCTCAACTGCATGCAAAACTCCTTTTCACATGTTAACAGCTCTATCCTGTTCTTCTACTCTCCATTTTAAACGTAGAAATCAAACAAGCGCCCTTTCCTCGACATGAGAAATCCACTAATAGGCTCACTGCTACCGACTACCACAAGCTCAACTTCACTAGTCAGTATGCACAATGGGATTGCTGCAGTTGCATATGCTATAAGATTGGCCTTATTTGTGAACATTGTAAATATGGCCCCATAAACTATTTGTTCACCATGGAAACTTGATGTTGAAATATGGCACATCATAGCCATCCAATGGGATAATAACTCCCCTGAGCAGATCATTGCTCACTTTACCAAACAAATTCAGAAATGGGACTAAGGCCATCACTTTTGGTCCAGGGAAGTGCCAAGATCATCTAGGACATCTCAAAAACTGGATATAAAACCACAGCTGTTATAAAGTTCAGAATAGCTACTGCTATGTTTATGCAGATTTATTATTTCAGAAGGTTTAATGGGAGGTTCTGATTGAATGCCAGTTTTACCTGACTCTGTTCTGTAGTTGATTCCTGACGGTTGAACTTTGGCGGACGTCCTGGTCGCCTCCCCGGACCAAACCGCCGCCTGCCTCGTCCACGACCTCTACACTTTGACCTGTTAGAGATCAGGTACAACAAATCATTTAATAGAGTGAAGCATAACTTTGAGAAAGCAGTGTCTTTGACTGAAGCAGCACGTTCCCAGGACACGTAAACCCTGAAAAGTTGCAAATTCACAGCTCCAGGGAGAAAAGCTCTCAATCTTTCAGCTGTCCTGTCATGCTGCAGCCATTCGGTGCTATTGAAGTCCAGTGAATCTATGGTACAGTTATCCCATTGTTGTTGCATTCATTTAGAATAACATCGAGGTCAGATACATTAGAGACATTTAAGGTGACTCTTGGATAGGCACATGGATGATAGTAAAATGAAGGGTATGCAGGTTAGTTTGATCTTAGAGTAGGATAATAGGTTGGCACAACGTTATAGAATAGAATCCCTACAGTGTGGAAACAGGCCCTTCAGCCCAACAAGTCCACACCGACCCTTGGAGCATCCCACCCAGACCCATCCCCCTATAACCCACCTAATCTACACATCTCTGAACACTAAGGGCAATTTAGCATGGCCAATCCACCTAATCTGCACATCTTTGGATTGTGGGAGCACCCAGAGGAAACCCACATAGACACGGGGAGAATGTGTAAACTCCACACAGACTGTCGGCTGAGGGTGGAATCAAACCTGGGTCCCTGGCACTGTGATGCTGCTAACCACTGAGCCACCGTGCCGCCCGTGGGCACATCGTGGGCCGAAGGGCCTGTACAGTGCTGTACTGTTCTATGTTCTATGTCCTGGACTTTGACTAGCAGCCAAACACCACAAAGTTAAATCTCACTATATGGAAACAAAGATGGAGGTACAGCAAGTAATTAGGAAAGCAAACACGGAAAGCCAAATACACAAGCAAGGATGTTATGGTTCAGTTATATAAGGCAATGCTGTGACCACATTTGAAGTGAGGTGTACAGTTTTGGTCTTCCTGTTTGTGAAAGGATATAAATTCAATGCAGGCAGTTCAAAGAAAGTTTACCAAACTAATACTCGGAATGGGCAGATAGTCTTATGAGGAAAGGTCGGACTGGCAAGGTTTATATTTGCTAGAGTTTATAAGAGTAAGATGTGGCTTGATTGAAACATATGATTCTGAAGGAACCTGTCAAGGTGGATATGGAAAGGATGTTTCTTCTGGAGGGACAATTTAGAACAATGGGTCACTGTTTAAAAATGAGGGGTCAACCATATAAAGACAGACGTAAGGAAATTTTTTTTTTCCTCTCAGGAGGTTGAGTCTTTGAAACACTCTTCCTGAAAAGTTGGGGGAAACAGTCTGTAAATCATTTTAAAGCAGATGCAGGTTTGCTCCTCAAGAATCTAAGGAGTGAAAGATTATCAGGGGTAAGCGGGAATGTGGCATTGAGGTGAAAAATCAGATGAGCCATGATCTAACTGGAAAGCAGAGCAGGCTTGAAGGGCCAAGTATATACATGTATGTAACTGAGCATGGATTGGACTCCACATGAGGGAGAAAGGAAAGGAATCCTAAACTGGAACTCTGTGAATCAAAGAAATTGAAATCAAAATGAAAAGGGAAAAGGAAGCTTATGTTAAATATCAGATTTATAATTCAACAGGGGATCAAGAAGAATAAAGCAAGTGTAGAACTGAAAAACAAAATTAAAAGGCACAAAGGGACTGTGTGAGAAAAGATCAGCACAAATCTTTAGAAAGATCTGAACAGAAAATGATGCAAAGGAAAGGTGAGGCTGATTAGGTACAAGGAAGATTTTGTTGTAGAGGCAGAGGGCACGGCTGATGGATCAACTGAGGAAACGCATCCATCACCAAGTAATAATATCCCAACCAAAACAGAAATGCTGCATGTCCATCATTTTACACAGATGGAGTAATGCAGACACATGACACAAACCAACCCTGGTCTTCAAAAAAAGACATTTTCAATACAGAAGTAAAAGGAGGAGGGAGGAGAGAAATTGAAGAATAAATAGAAAATTAAAGGGACTAGCATGTGCTTTTCACGATCACCAGATGTCTCAAACCACTTTGCAACCAAATAAGTGTTTCTTTTTAAGCACAGCCATTATTGTAATGTTGGAACATAACAGCTAATTTCCACTCAGCAAGCTCCCACTGTTAGCCTTCACTGGGGTAGACCACTGGAAATCAAACCCAGCTACTCTTACAGTCCTCACAAAAGTTAAATGATTTTTAAAAAGTACAAAAAGATTCCCTAATTTACCTGCCTTTCAAACATGGGCTAACAGGAAGCACAGATCAGGTTTCTGTACTTAAGACTTACAACTTATTTCCAGTAATTAGGCTTAAGCCACAGGTAAATGTTCTTCATGGACCTTCGACAGATTATCTTACAATTAAAATTCAAATCGCCATATAAACTCTCCCTCACACGCACATATGCGCAGAGATAGACACAGATAGGGAAAAAAAAATGACTGGTATGGACAGAGAGAAAGACTGGAAAGGCTGTTCGTTGGTTACT